CGATTAAATTATAACCCCCTACACCACCATTGACAAGCACACGCCATACTCTTCTGCAACCGTAATCACACCGCCGGAACTCCAACCTGCATGCCACTAAACAGCTCCTCGATAGCATCAGAACCTGAAGAAACGTGTATTCTATAAATGATAGAAAATCTACACTATTCACCTAAGGAACCGCATATATAGGCACTAGTCTTATCATGCACACGAAATAATCAGTATTGTTATTGCTCATACATACTCAATCTAGCCATACTATCACATATTTCCCTAGCACACCTTTATTACAAATTTAGACCGACAACTATACTCCCAAGCCACGTTCGCCTAATACGGTATTGTACAAACAGCCTCTATTTGGGTGCAGGCAGCCAGAGGTGGGACTTGGGCCCTCGTTGTTGATTGTTCCGATTAGACCTTCACGACTAAAAAATGTCAGTTCCACGCCTTTTGCGCTGTTTAGTTAGACATAATGAAATGCTCTAGATGGGTGGATGGGATGGGCATGAAAGATCTGGAACCGGGGTTGAACACCGCACAATACATGTTGATATCATATCCACGTGAAAAAGTTAACGACCGTAAAAAAAACTACCCCCTAAATTCACCCCGCTACCTACAAACCCCTTCACTCCCTCTCGCAAGCTCAAGGCACAAAACCAAATATCTACCCACATTCTCCTTACATTCCGTCTCGACATCTAAACAAGCCCCAGTCCGACCAACTCTCCTGCTTTCCTTCCATCCAACTACCCTCAGCACAGCAAACTCATCTTGTACCTCCATCGAGCTTCCGTCACTAGAATAATCCATTATCTACGATCACACCGATTATTGGGCCGTTCTAAAAACTCGCTTTTCCTTCGCAAACGAGCGTATTCGATCAGTGGGAATAGGGAGATCGATATGGATAGCCCATAGCCTAAATCCGAGTTTCCCAACTGCGGGGTATAAACACAAAAAATAAAGAAGAAATGGTTGCTTTCGGCTATAGCGCTTCGTAGCTGTGCGCTGTGTTTTGTCGTCTGTTCGCAACCCCAAAAAGAATAAGTATAAGTCTCAAAGGTCGAAGGAAAACCCATGACAACCTCATCGCCGCCAAATAACTTCAGGAAAATCACAAAAGAAAAGAATTAAGAATCAAAATCAAGCCGTGACGTAGGAAACCTCATACACCCATCACAAAGCCAGCCCGGGCACGGGTTTCCTGGACGGCATCTGCAAAGTGGCATTGGCATTAGGATTCATGGGGCTGGGGCCCGGCGGCGAGGCACGACGGGCGGCGACCTGACTGGCGGAATTCGATCGTGGGCGCTGCATCGGCGGAGGAGGGCCCATACGCTGATGTTGCTGGGGGCCGCCGCCGTAGGGGCCTGGTGACATGGAGCGCGGCGGGCCGGAGTAGGGAGCGTTGCTGTTCGAACGGACACGGCCGCCTAGTGGGCCCATGGGAGACATGGCACGGGGCCCTGGAGACATAGAGCGGGGACCGGGAGCAGGAGACATGCGGCCATGAGCGGGCGAGAGAACTGGCGGGTGAGGCGAGCTCCGGCCGTTGGTGGGAGTCAGCGGACGGGGTTGGGGTATGCCACCGGGTCCTGTGGGGCCCATGGGGGGTCCTCGTGGGCGGGCACCTGGTGGAGGTGGGCCTTGGCGAGGCGGTCCGGTTCGAGGCTTCACAGGATGCTTGGAGAGGCAAGTACGGGGGACGACACCTTGTTGCGAGCGATCCATGCGAATGCAAAGAGCCCAGCCATCGTCATACTCGTGGAGCATGCGGACCAGCTGACCGGCGCGAAGGCCAAGTTCGTCGTTCATGGAAGGTTTGAAATCCATTTGGACGCGGTGGACGTTATTGGGACCAGGGCCGTTGGCTTGTCCATTAGCTCCAGCCATCGGAGGCGGGCCTGTAGGAGCTGGGCCAGGGGAGGCAGGAATATCCTCAGTCCATGCTGGGCTTGGGGGAACACCGTCGGGGTTCAAGCCTGGGGGAACCTGGATTTCTTGCGTAGGCGTGGGTGAGGGAAGTTCCTTTCGCGTAACATTGGCGATGGGCATGGGTAGTGGAGCGGGAACTGGAGCAGGTGCCGGTCTTGTAGATTGAGTCGGGGATGGGCTTGCTTCAGCTGCTGCAATGGCTATAGCGGGGTTGGCAAAGTCGTTCATTTTACTAGACGGTGGCTGAGGCAAGCTACCGGTCGGTGGAGGACTTGGAGAAGGCGCATATCGAGCATCGGTGGCCGCATGGTTTCCGAACGGGTTCTCTGGAGAATTCGGCGAGTTTTCTGGACGTGGATCACTGAAAGGATTTGCGGGCGCTGCCGCAGCATTGGCGGCACCAGGTCTTTCCCATGAGCTACTCGGACGTTCGAACGAATTATCTCTTGGATTGGGTGGAGAGACAGGACCATCGGCGGCTGCAACATTGAGTAGGTTCCCACCACTCTTGCGTTGGTCCCAGGTGGGCGAAAATTGGGTGACGGGCCGAAGACTAAGTCGAGGTGCCGTTGATGCGGTGCGAGCGGTCCTAATGCTGGGTGCATCGTCCGAAACGGCAATAACTGGGGGCGGCGGAGGAGGAGGAGGTGCATTCTTCATTGCCGCCTTCTCATCGTTCGCCTTCTTTTGCGCCGCGACTTGCTTCTTCTTGCGGTGATATAGGAAAAGGACGAAACCAAGGAGCGCTCCAATGGCCAAGAGAATGCCCAATGCTAGGCCTGCTTTCGCTCCACCAGACATGCCGCTGCTCTCGGTGGCTTCGGCAGTCGGGGAGGCTGTCAACGCTGAAGTGGATGTAGTGGCGGCAGCGGCAGCGCCAGCAAGCGTGGGGGAGGATGTCGCGATCACAAGCGTTGATGGCGCTGGAGTCTTCGCGCTAGTAAAGGACCTAATGGTAGTTGAAGCATCCGAATCGTCGTCCTTGACGGTCGCTGTCGCTGTCGCACTAGCGCTGGCGCTGGCTTTGGCTTTGGAAGTTGGCTTGGAAGCCTTCGCCGTGCTAACCTGGACCGGGGGTCCAACCAGAAAACTGTTGTCCGCGGCCTGAGTGATCCACACGGCTTCTCCAGAGAATGTCTTTGGCATGGTCTTGATTACAGTCGCGACAACGGTTGCAACGCCGTCCTGCTGGTCGTCGTCATCCTTTTCTTCCCTCTGACGTTGCCTTCGCTCCCTCTCATCGTCATCATTACTGTTCCTAGATTAGCACAAAATAAACAACACCGCAAGTCAGGCATACTCATGATGGCGGCGGTGGTCCCGTGCCCGGACCTTACGCTGCACGAGATGCGCCCGGCCATGTTGGTGAGCCATGTCGGGTGGAGTCATAAAATCAATGCGTGATTACGTCTTTAAGCAGGTATGTTTAGTATTTGATCGGACTAGGCGTCGCTTTGTGACGGGGTATGACCCTCTGAGAGCCTTGCGTGGTTTCGTAAACACGGCGCGCTTGTTATCGATGCGATTATCCAAAAGGAGCAATTACGAGGTTTACTGCGCTGGCGATGGATTGTCTATGTACAATAGTGGCGATGTATGTGTCGAGAGAGATCGGACAGCAAAGAATGAAGGTGGCTTTGGAAGCTTCACGCGACTCGGTCGGAATGTAGGGATCTATGTACGATGGACTAGGCACTAAACATCAAAGGAGAGTACTGAGTGGTGCATAAAGAACGAATGGCGAGGGCTGCGCTCGATGAACGAAGGGCGAGCGACAGCCGGGTCGCGAGTAAAGCGAATTGAAGCAATTGGGAGGGGCGGCGGTGGAGGAGGTGAAGGTGAAGGTGAGGTGGTGCGGGTGAGGACGAGGAACAGGGACAAACAAGATGGGCTGTTTCGCTCACTCGCTCGCGCGCGTACCTGACAGGCCTAAGCGGCTACGCCTGGCCCGTGTCCCTCGTTCGTCATTTCACCACCCCCTTAGTTCCCTCTTGGCCTCAGGCACCTCGAGCCTGCCATTGGCCGTTTCATCTAATCTCCCGTTGTTCTGATGACTCTTTTCTATTTTCATTCACGCCCTGGTTTGGCCCTGTGAGAGTCGTCACCGACGTGCCCCCTTATCGTCCTCTATCGCCCGCCTCGCAACGATGTGAGCCTCCATATACTCGGAAAATTGTGAATGTAGCCTCGTGCACAGCGCACGACATGGCTTCATGTCGAGCAATGTGCTGGAACGAGGTGGCGGTACCGGCTCACCAGCCCTTTCGCATCACAAATCTCGCACTCCAGCGCGGAATGCTCGTTATCGTCAGCCACGTACTTCGTACACCGAGGACCACAGGACTTGTCCCGGTGCATCATAATGAACTTGACGTAAAAATATAGCAATAGTAATTACAAGCGGGTACGTACGAACGAGGGAAGAGTTGTGCACTATGCAGGCTGCCCTGCCGGCGTTTGGGGCTTCTTGTAAACCGCTCGAAAGGGCACGGGTTGTCGAGTCGCAATTTCGCGGCGCGGGATGCCAGTCAGCAGTGGAGGGCTGAGTTCAAAATTTGCTCTTCACAGATGCCAGGTAGACCATGAAGCCACGACAACGGCGGCTCGTAATTATGTACCGTCCGCTTCCGCACGGAATGTGGCTGTCGAGGATCTCAGTAGCCTCTTAACATTGTGACCATGGTACGGCATCAAGCAGCTTTAAGGACCACTCTCCCAACGGAAGACGGACGAAGCATCGTACCACGGTCTTCGGCAAGTAGGAGGTGAAGCATGGTGGGGTGTCGGTGAGATGATCGAACTGAATAAATGGATCCGAATGGTATTCTGCAGTTCGCAAAGGGATCATCGGCTCGTTCATGTCACAGATATATTATTACCGCAACGTTGCGGAAGCCATTGCGAAAAAAATAATTTTTTGGCTTCTACAAGGACAAAGAATGCGAGTTGGTTCCTCACTGTAATATTAAGTTCTCTCCCACATTCACCAATAAAATCAAATATCCCTAGCTGCCAGCAAATAGCTAGTTGATTGACATAGATTAGCAAAAATGACATGCTCCCTCACGGAGTCGAACCGGGGACCTCAGCATTACTAGTGCTGCGCTCTACCAACTGAGCTAAAGGAGCTGTACTGTATTTTCACTTGTAATGCATTCAGCAATTTATTAAATTTATATCAAACATATCCAGGGCCAAAATAATCCTTATAGCGCTTGACTAAACCGTCTTAGCAATGGCCCAGTATCATACGCTATACCTAATCTACCTTTGCGCATTCCGCAGCAACATCCTTAGCGGTGTTGTACATACGTACATATTGCATGCGGCGAATTATCCCCGGTCACGTATAGATCTATATCAGCAAACAAGGAAACTTTTTTTTCCTCTCCAACTTTAGAGAAATCCACAAACTCACCTAGAACCAACTAACCAAACATGCCACAAATCTTCTGATCCCCCCATCCGGCCCTGCATCCATCATAATACCCTCAAACCGCAATCGCTGAAAGAGCAAATGTTGCAGATATATTCGTTTGCTTTATGTGATCGTGATGTAGCGTGCTGTGTCTGACATGCCGTTGTTTTTCGGTGATTTCATCTTATGTTATACCTCGCTTTCAAACAGGGATGTTGGGTTTACGGGCGATGGCGATTATATGCTTGGGATGCGCATCCGGGTGCAGTCTCGGTGCTGGTTACCAAGTGGACTATCCGCTAATTCAGCCCCGAGACATTTGCGAAAGCTATTTGAGCTTGGAAGGTGCCTGTCTACGCTCTTTGGTAGACCGAATTTGTGGGAGAGGATTTGGATTGGGCGAGATGACTACTTGGGTTGTAAAATAGAAGCCAGATGGGAATTACCAGAATCCCTGGGGAAGCTCTTAGCATCCCCTCACTAGATAGAATTAACCATCAATGTAAGTCGCCCTGGATCCCCACCAAGTCCAACCTCTCAATCTCACGTTCAACTATCAAATACAAAGCATTCAAGCTATATGATCAAACCATCTCCTTAGGCTCAACTCACTATTGCCAAGCAATGTCGCGATTCGTTGGTCCTTCCAAGTAACACTCGATTGGTGGGAGAGACGAACTGCATTCGCTAATCCTACCTCTCTTTAACCTTTCTATATACTATTCTGGAGTACACATCATGGGATACAGGAAACGATATCTTTTTACCATGTTCTAGTGCTCTGTAGACCACGGACAATAATTCTTGGCGTTTATTGAAGAGCAGAAAACCCATTCGCGAAGGCTAAACATTGCTTGTAGCCCGATATAGACTTCAATTTCAAGATGACCCGTGACGATTAGCAAATAGGCAGCCTATGGAAAACGGTCGCGAGAGGCTGCTTAGGAATAATTCAGTCGAGCATCGCAAGTTTGTAAGAGAATGGAAAGGTTCGGAAAGTGGAAGGGTCTTAGAAGGGTGGGTTGAGTAATTGTTGATGCTGCTTGTGGTCTGATCGCCGAAATGGCCACTTGTGTACTAAGGCCCGCTGTTGTCTCGCCGACTGCTTCCTCGAATGAAACACGAACGTAACTATTTCGTATTACCATACTAGGGAGACCAGGCCATTCAATAAATTATCGACCGTGATGATGAATTGAAGTTGGCTGAAGGTGGAATTCCAGGAGGGATCCGAGCCCCTTAGCACCGAGATAGCTCCGCTTCGCATGACGCCATGTCGAGTTCATAAACCGCAGTTCCGTGATCGCACAAAATCTAGAAGAGCCTCAGACAGTTCCCCACCCACACAAATACACACTGATAACTGCCGCAATGGCCTCATTTCTCCCACGCGTCGCTCCCAGAGCTCTCTACTTCACCGCGCGTTCTACCATACGTCCGCGGCTCGGCAAGTCTCAAAGCACAGCACCGACCCTCATGCGCAGCTTTGCCAACGGTTCGATCGAGCAGCCTCGCCTTCGCCTGGGCTCGCTGGGTGGGTGCCTCTACAGAACGGACGAGCACCAGCACAGCTAATTGGACTCTAGCTCCCAACTTCCAGGCCAAGACAAGCCACGGTGACATCGACTTTCACAAGTTCATCGACAGGAGTTGGGCCATCCTCTTCTCGCACCCCGCAGACTTCACACCGGTATGCACGACAGAGCTCGGGGCATTTGCAAAGATGAAGGATGAGTTCGACCGTCGCGGCGTCAAGATGATTGGCCTTGTATGTTTTCCGTCCCCATCCCTACAGGGTTGGCTGCAATATACTGACGTGGCTGTGGTAGAGCGCCGACGACCTGGCCCAGCACGACAAGTGGGTTGACGACATCAACGAGATCTCCAACACCAAAGTGCAGTTCCCCATCATTGCCGACGCCGACCACAAGGTCTCCTTCCTCTACGACATGGTCTCGGAAGATGATTTGATGAAACTTCAAAGGGGAGAAATAGCGCTTACGATCCGCGCCGTCTATATCATCGATCCGAACAAGAAGATTCGGCTGGTCATGCTGTACCCTGCCAGCACGGGGCGGAACACGGCCGAGGTGCTACGAGTGATTGACTCGCTTCAGACGGGCGACAAGAAGGGGGTTGTGACACCCATTGACTGGACTGCAGGCCAGGACGTCATCGTGCCGCCGTCAGTGTCGACGGAGGATGCGAAGAAGAAGTTTGGCGAGGTCAAGGAGGTGAAGCCGTACCTGCGATTTACCAATGTTGGTAAATAGATGGTTGGAGAGGAGCAGGAAGGCATTGATGTATATACTTGAAACCTGGAAAGACGGTGCAAGTATACTTTTGTATATATTCCAGACGGTAGACGCCACTCCTACTTTGCGAATGTGAAAGTTGAGACATGACTTGGCACGACCACTCGCATGTCCTAGGTACTCAGGTGCCCGGTTCGACACTCGTGATCAACTCGAACAGCTAAACTTGATCGATACAGGAATAGACTGCCCGATACTACGACGAGTCGGCAGCTCAACCTTAGCCGAAGAAAGCTACGGAGTATGTACAGATCCTGCCCTCAGGTACCCGCCGAGAACGACTGGGGCGCTGTGGCGCGCTGGTGTGTGGTCTCGTCAGCCGTTGGGCCGGGAACAACTGCCCCGAGGCAATCTTCTCCAGGTTTTTGCATGCACCCTCGTCCTTGACCGACCGGAGATCCCCATATCTAGGTATACGGGATGAGACGCTATTTCGACCTCAACCAACGCCCAGACCCCTTTCGCATGCTCGACACGTTCTATTCAATGGCCTCTGAGCAGGATACCAGCCAAGGAAGATGGGCAGTGTCCATCACGTCTTCGTCTAAGGCGTGCGGTGTGAAGTGTGAGGCGGGGAGCCCTTAAGCCGAGGTCGCGTGTGCAGCCGAGTCCACGGCCGACGTGAGCCAAGCTCCGGAAATCTGGACGAGCGCATATGTCAATCAAAACATTTGTCCTTCTTTCACTCGCATCTTTTCACGCACTCTCTCCCTCCCTCCTCACCGCGCAGACCATCCTGCAATCGGTTTCCCCAGCCTCGGATCTCCGTGACGGCGCATTTTGGTTTGGAATTCGGCTGGCTGTCCAAGCTCCCACAATGGCTACCAAGGCCATCAAGACGGACAATCTGCCCTCCCCCGAAGAAATAAAGGAAGATGTCAAGGATGCCACTAAATCATCCATCCAGTCGCTCCGATCGCTAGTCGCAGGTGGCGTGGGAGGAGTCTGCGCAGTCATTGTCGGCCATCCATTCGATCTCGTCAAAGTCCGGTTACAGACAGCAGAGAAGGGCGTATACAGCGGCGCCATCGATGTTGTGCGGAAAACCGTTGCGAGGGAGGGTCTGGCGCGGGGACTGTATGCGGGTGTGTCCGCGCCCTTGGTCGGAGTTACGCCAATGTGTGAGTTCAGGAATCCTGTTATCCGCAAGTCTCGGTACTTAGGGAGCATTATGCTAATAGTTCGCAGTCGCCGTCTCCTTCTGGGGCTACGACCTCGGAAAACGCCTCGTCTCATCCGTATCCACAGTCGAGAACGGCCACTACTCCACCGCCCAGCTGTCCGCCGCTGGCTTCTTCAGCGCAATCCCCATGACGCTCATCACAGCCCCCTTTGAGCGCATAAAAGTGCTCCTACAGATCCAGGGCCAGAAACAGCTGGCACCGGGCGAGAAACCCAAATACTCTGGCGGCATGGACGTGGTGCGGCAACTCTACAAGGAGGGCGGCATACGGTCTGTCTTCCGAGGCTCTGCAATGACGCTTGCCCGAGATGGGCCCGGTTCCGCGGCATATTTTGCTACATACGAAGTTGTGAAGCGGCAACTTACACCTAAGGATCCAGTTACCGGACAGCCTGGTCAACTTTCACTTTCTGCTGTCATGGTCGCCGGCGCTGCTGCCGGTGTCGCCATGTGGATCCCTGTTTTTCCCATTGATACAATCAAGTCGCGATTGCAGAGCGCTGAGGGACGACCAACGATCAGCGGCACAATCAAGGGAATTCATGCAAGCGGCGGCTTCAAGGCCTTCTTCCCCGGTATTGGGCCGGCCATGGCTCGAGCGGTGCCTGCCAATGCCGCCACTTTCTTGGGAGTCGAGCTTGCGCAGAAGGCAATGAGCACCATGTTTGATCGCAATGGCGAGTGAAGAAATGAGCTATCTAAATTCTGATATATGAATATGTGATTGTACGCATTTTATTGAACAGCTGATTGGTTGGTTGGTTGGTATAGGAAAGCCATGATTACACGGCATTTGGAGTATTTCATTCTACTTGTTCGTCTCAAGAGCTACAGGTACATGCTTCTAGAAGAGTCGTTTGCCATCCAATATCACTATTCCTGAACACTCTTTCTCTAAATCTCATTTTATTCCCGGCAAAGGGTCCATGAGGAATGCATTCAACCCCCAACACGCGGCTTTCCCACCAAGCCGCATTCCAGAGCACAGGTTCCTAGATACACAAAATTAGCTATCGCATATCTTCTTTGTTTTGCCCATTCTCCCATTGAGCTTTTAATGAACGACTCCCCAATCCCATTCTCCCTATTACCGACATTTCTCTCACGCTCATCTTAAAATTGACTTCTGAAGACTTTCTATCATCATTGCGTCAAGCCGCTCAATTCCCACTCCCCTAACACTCTTAAGCCTATAACACAACAACCCAATGTC